CCTCGAACTTGGAATGTAGATAATCTTAAGAAATATTTCTTTTGAATGATATAAATAGTCAAGGGCTACTTAATAAAAGTTTGCATACTTAATATTTAATTTTGTACTAAGAGGGGCACGCCTACTAACAAAAAGTCGGCTACTCTCCATACTCAGTTTTCCTTCTTACTTAAGAGGGGCATGCCTACTGACAAACAGTCGGCTACTCTAAATGTTTAATTTTTATTCTTACTTAAGAGGGGCAGGCCGCCAATACATTTACAGTCGCCTACTCTCCATTGAGTATTTCACTTTATCATCAGAGGGGCATGCCGTCTATACCTTTACAGTCGGCTACTCTCCATTGAGTATTTTACTCTATCTTCAGAGGGGCATGCCGTCTGTACCTTTACAGTCGGCTACTCTCCATTGAGTATTTTACTCTATCTTCAGAGGGGCATGCCGCATGTACCTTTACAGTCGGCTACTCTCCATTGAATATTTAACTCTATCACCATAGGGGCATGCCGTCTGGACATACAGTCGGTTCCAAAACAGACAGCCACCCCCCTATACTTAGCTAAAAAATGATCAGGGCCTGGCCGACCTTGTGCCTAAACAGGCGGCTACCCTCCTCTTACTTAGCACCTACGTCCACCAAAGGACTAACCAAGGCCACAGGTCGAATGATCAGACCAGGCGCCATGCCAACTGATCCAATCTTCAAAACTAATACGACCTATCCCAACATCATAGCAGGCGTCCGGCGGCATCCCTCCGGATGAAATTCGTCGCAGAGAGCAGCTCCCTTTTGGGTGGAACATTGCTCTATAAACTAATTACACGGCACCTATACGACTGTCCCCAAGGGCAACCACGTAGCCGTTTTTGAGACAAGGATAACTCTATCACTAACCAAACCAGTGGTAGCAGTTGACATCTGAGTCAGATGACCGCCTGTATTACTTGGGATAAATGCAGGGGGTACCTCTTGAGTTAATAGCCAACAAACATTGGCGAATCAAAAGGTTCAGCCGGCCTCCGCCGCCTGGTACCTTTACTACTCAAGCAGGAGTGACGGCGACTGAGTAACACCAAAGTTAACTCATAGTCACTCTCTCAAACTTAGTATGGAGCCTAAAAGGTATGAGTCGTCCGCCTGTTTTTAGCAAACAGGGGCTCTCAACCACTACTCCTGCTAGGTTAACAACCTATGAGTTAAAAGCCAACAAACATTGGCGAATAAAGGGGAACAACCGGTACCCACCTCTTGATACCTCTACTACTCAGTTACTTGGCGACTAGGTAACAATCATGTTTACTTGGTCACTCCTTAAAAATTTAGTATGAAACTAAAAAGGTGTTCATACAGCACCTGTTCACACTAGATTAAATGTGGCGGGGAACAGTCGGCCTAGATTGCCTAAAGTCTCTAGCCTAAAAACATGACAGGTAGGAAACCACTTTCCTACTTGGTTAATTTTACAAAATGGCCTGCCTAAAGGGGATCGCCTGCCTAAAGGGGATCCAGTCTTTAAAATGGTTCGAATACCGATTGGATAAATGGCCGACTGATCGTCTAGCCTGGAAACAGACAACCAGTCGTCCAGGGGCATAGGCGGCGTGACTAACTATCCGTACCTGTCTGCAACTATCGGCCATGTAAAACAGTCGGTATAGTGTACAATTGGATATCAGAATATTCAATACTTAAACAAATTTGAAGCAAAACAAAAATATTCATTAAAAGGAAGCCGGTCATTAAAGACCGGCAAAATATTCAGAGCCTCGGCCCCCTGGCCGAGTAAATACAAACAAACGACACGCATGCCGGGGAAAGAAGACATAAAGCTTATGAAGGGGGCAGATCTTCAATATTAGCAACTGCCGCCTGGTCAGCACTCTTTTTGCTGGACTCGGCTTCAGCTGCATCCTTCTTCGATGCATTACCCCCAAGCGGCACAAGCGCCGCTACCGGCTGCTCCTCCTCCTCCTCCAACGCCTCTTCCTCAGCAGCCGCCAGGATCTCTTGATTATATCTATCAGAACACTGGCGGTACGTTTTTTCCCAGGAAGCAAAGGCAAAGTCGGCATTGGGGAAGAGGCGGCCCCAAGTCATGCGCTGGATTTGAGCAGAGTCTTCCATCATCTCCCGGACCAGCTCTTTCTTTTCTTGCTCGGCCTTTTCCGAGAGCTCCTGAGTAAGACTCTTCTCCTGGGTCACCAGGCATTCCTTTACGCTCGCCAAGGATTTCTCCAAGGTTTCGTATGAGGACATCTTTTGGCGAAGAGGTCTCAGCTCGGTCTTGAGGATGTTGATGGTCGCCCCCAGCTCGCTATTCCTCTTCTGGGCCGCCTCTAACTGAGCCCGGATAGCGGCGGTAGCCTGCGCCTGCTAATAAAGAATATCAATTGTCAGAACTTCATTTTGGGCGATTTGAAACATTGCCTTATCACATTCAGAGGCGGCCATAGCTTTTGCAGCCTTTACCTCTTTGTTCTTCCTGTCAAGCGGCTTACGGAGGCCGTTTACTCGGAGCAGGGCCTAAGTAAAAAGGGGAACAAGCGTCAGTTTCCAAACAAAAAAGAAAACAGGCATCCTGGAATTCAAATACTCAAAAATATGCTAATTATACCTCAGCAAGGACCCCTGCAATCCCGTCTAGGTCAAGGGTGCCGACACCCCTGACCGCCTCCCTTTCAGCTGGAGGTACGGCCTTGATCATAGACTTGGCCACTTCGACCAAGTCAGGCTCCTGAGGGCCGGCTGCATCAAGCATAAACAAACGGATTAGACCTAGTAAAGGAGGGAGCAAGTCTAAAATTTACAAGGACAATTTCATACTTCTAGGTGGCCCAGCTGGAGTTTTAGAAGAAGTGGCCGGCTGTTTCTCAGCCGCCGCATGTTTCCTGGCAGAACCAGGAGAGCTCGCAACAGTCGTCCTCCGGGCCTTGGGGTCCGGCTGTTGGGAAGAAGAAGCTCTTGGAGCGCCCGTCTAAAAAAGAAGAAAAGAGTCAGTATATGCATAAACACAACTCCAAAAAGAGGGTGAAAGGTTCGAAGCCCACCAAGGGTGCCCCCTTGTTGGGGGAGTCGGTTGAAGACTGTTGCATGATGGAGGCCCGCAACATGGCCGCCGCAGTCTTGGAGGCGGTAATTTTTCTCATGGCGTCCGCTGCAAAAACAAATAGCAAAGTTAATAAAAGTCATAACAAGAAATGCACGGAACAACAGAGTAAAATGGGAAGGGGTCACTTTGACTCCTCCCTCAGAACTGCCGGCTTTCAAGCCGCTTTGTTTCACTTCCACATCTGGCGCCTGGTCAGATGTTTCACTAATCGGCACCTTGTGGGAGGAGCCGTCTGAGTTTGAGATCCTGGCAGTCTTTTTTGTTCTGGCCATCATGCTTTGCATAGACACAGATACAGTCGGACTTTGTATAAAGGGCAAAGATGGGTCCAGAAAAGGGCAGGCGGCACTCCTAGTCCTAGATTCAGCCGTCCCCGGTGACCGGATGATCACTAACCTAGGTCGTGTCGTGTGCTTCCGTGGTGCCATTTCAAAAAAGAATAAAGTAAAGAGAAAATTAAGAGTAAGAGAACCGACGGTTACCTGAACGAGTGACGATTGATGAAGTTCTGAAAATCCTTTGCAGTCGGCTTGTCAGAGCAGGCGGTAGGCAGAAAGGGTCCAAAATGTCAGAGCAAGTTCAGGGGTCCGAATGTTCTCTCACAAAGTTTTCAAGTGTGAAAATGACCGAAGTCAACACTACTTTATATAGGCGAAGTGAGAAGGCGAAGGGTCACTTCCAGAATTCAAAATTTTGGCGGGAGAATCTCCCGGCCTCTCGCCGAGTGACACCTGTAGCAGGTCGTCGCCTGTTACAGGGCGACACCTGTCACAAGTAACACGTGACCAGTCACGTGCCACCTGTGAGGGGCAAATGATTAGGGGATTTTGCTCCCACCAATCGGAATGCGCCACGTGGGCCAATCAGGTCCTGCCAAGTGTCCCCCAGTTGGACCTCTCAGGGCTTGCCACGTGGCACACGCTTATTCGTCCACCCTGGACTTATTATGTCATGACACGTGGCATACTCCATGCCTAATGGAGAAGCCGGTCACCTAGGCCCAACTTCCGAGGGAAGCCCAATCAGCCCAAGGTTAACCTAAACCTAGATTGGCACGTTTCCCGAGGTTATAAATACCTCCCTTAATCCTCATTAAGGGAGATTACGCAGATTACACACATTAAACACTCTCACCTAGAGAGACCCAATCACTTTAATTTCCGCATTAATTACTCCTTAATCAAGTACTAACTTGACCGTCGGAGGCGGATCTCCAATCATTCGGAGCATCCGTTTGTTTTGCAGGTGCAGGCGTCCGGTTCCAGTCTCGGAATTGTAACTCTCCCGCAGGACATCAGAAAACCACGAAACACAACGCAATATCATTTATTGTTGAAGTAGTACCTTTTCACAATGCAAAATTCATAGGCAGCTTGTGGTAAAATGATCGCATAATCACACATATTTTCTTCCTTATTCAACACTTCGATAGTTGTGATGTTCAACACATTACATCTATATTTTATCGACTAGCTCGAGACAATTAACATCAATCACTTAACTTATTATTATCATGTAAAATAACTCTATTTTACCTCAAAAGTTGTTTCTTGATTCATTATGTATTTCTCTCGTGATGAGTGTATCTGATGTTTATTTCTTTTTCAGTTTTCCTAATCTTTAAAAGAAAAAGCATGTCAAGTTCAGTTCAATTCAAATAAAGTTCAGATCTCTCTCAGTAACTTTTGGCTGGTTTCAAGTCAAGTTGTTGATTATCAGCTCTCAAAAATGTAACGTAACATTGTAACATACTAACATGAAACCATGTTCGATATCTCATTGTAGAAAGGGGGTTAGGATTTAGGAACTTTGGATTATGTATAGGCCTTACAATGTGATTAGACGGCCCAAGAGAAAGGAAAAAATGAAGAGCCCAAAATCAAAATAATCCATTCTCAATTAGAAAAAGCAGCCATCAAAATTAGGGTTTCAAATAAAAAGAACCCTTTCACTTCCACATTTCCAATCTCTCCGCAAACCCTAGCTGCTGCGACACAAACCTCTCTGTTTGCAGGTTTCTCTCTCCTCTTTCTTCCCTCTTTCATCTTCTTCTTCCTCGATTTTCCATCAATTTCCTGCTTGTAATTCGATTTTAATGGCGTAATTTTGCTTTGTGAATCAGGTGTTCGCAGAACTCAAAAATGGCCAAGTCGAAGAATCACACTGCTCACAACCAGTCTTACAAGGCTCACAAGAATGGAATCAAGAAGCCTCGCCGTCATCGTCACCAATCCACCAAAGGGGTACGCTATTTCTCTGTTAATTCATCCTAATTATTCAATTATTTGAATTTTATGCAATTTTTTCGATTAATTTTGCTGATTTTTTTCAATTTTATTTTCTGGGTAATGTTGAAGATGGACCCAAAGTTCTTGAGGAACCAGAGGTACGCAAGGAAGCACAACAAGAAGAGCGATGAGGTTGCTACTGAGGAAGAATAGTTGTTTCGTTCATTATATTAGGGAAGTTCTTTTTTTTTTTGCTGTTAATGGATATTGCTTAGGGTTTTTTGTACCCAGATTTAAATCTATCTAAAGTTTTGTTCTTGCGATGAAAGAAGAATTGCCTACTTTGGTTTTGTTAATTTTAATGGAGGATTCAGACTATAATGTATTTGCAATTTAGTACGATTAGTTATTATGAATTACTCTTATTGAGTATTTTTCCACTCTATTTTATAATTGTTGATTTTGTTGAATATAGCATGATGGTACTGTTATATCGTAGTTGATTAATTTGTTTGTAGATTATAATGTAAGGCAGTTGGGGAGTAATGTATGTATATCGGGTTTGATCGAGTTTGTATTAGTCGTAGGAATTTGGTAATGTGGGGGCGGAGTGCCAGAGTAGCATTATATCGTAGTTGATTAATTTGTTTGTAGATTATAATGTAAGGCAGTTGGGGAGTAATGTATGTATATCGGGTTTGATCGAGTTTGGATCAGTCGTAGGAATTTGGTAATGTGGGGGTAGAGTGCCAGAGTAGCATCAGCTGAAGTATTGGTTGATTATAGGAAATTTGGTTGTGTTCAGTCTAGTTTGATTAGTCATGTTATTAGCTGAAGTATTGTTGATTATAGGAAATTTGTGGTTTTGGGGCATTTGGGGAAAATGTATGTATTGCGGTTGAGTCTGAATTAGTGATAGGGAACTATGTATTGCTGTTGAGTCTGAATCAGTGATGAAACATAGAGCTTTGTGTTGGCATTAATGTGTTCTCTTCGGGAATGTGAATTTTAGAATGCGCCAATCCGGTGATTTGGGATGCCTAGTCCTTGTTGATTGCTAGTTCTGTTCCAAGACTAGGGGCGAATAGAGAAGTGGTGACTTTAAGTGATTCCCGGAGTATTCTAGTATGTTTTTTCTAACTTTAATGTTGTTGCCAAGCATTGTGGCAGTAGAACTTGATTGAGATTTTAGAGCCATTTTAGAATAGAGATTAACAGTCGTAATCACTGGAATTGCTGTGCAAAATTTCGGATTGAGGGGGTCTGCAATGGAACAAATTTTGCCCTGAATAACCTAGTTTTCGATGTGGTGACTGTATCAGTGTTTACGTCACACTTGATTACTGTGCAAGTTATGCATGCGGGTGATTGTAAACAGTGACTTGAATGTTCTTAAGTTCTGCAGTGACTGTTAGCTGTAATGGTAGCATTAGTCATATAAGTTATAATTTGAGCAAGTAAATCCTATTCAAGGTTGGCTCACCTAAAGTTTCGCAAGCTGTTAAGCTCCTTGTGTAGTACGTTAGATGCTTCTGATCCTGCTCATTTGAATACAGTTTTATAAGTATTTTCCTGCTCGATTTGCTCTTAATGTTGTCCATCTCTGAGCAATTATCAGCAAAGAAAAATTCAATGGTTAATGAGAATGTGGATGCCTTAACAAAGTTCATTTATTTTCGCATTTTTTCGTTTTGGGGATGGGGAGTTAGATGTGAGCAAGATGATTTGTGAGGGTCTGAGGTCGAGTGAATCCTATGTTGTTGGTAGTCTAACATACCCTTTCATGCCAATTTTTATTTTTAAGTCGGTATTATAGATATCATCACCCTCGCAAGATATACTTGGTTGGGTTTGTGAGGGCAATATACAAGTATGAAGGATTCAAGAGGGAAATGAGGATGATATCAATTATCAGTTTGAAGGCGATTAAGAAAAAAAGCCAATCTATTTTCTAAATAAATACTCGTAGTTTAATTTGGAAAATCTTTAATATATATCCAATTTTCCACGAGGGAGCTTTATTCACAGCATTTATCTTAAAGAGAAACTTGAATTTACCCATTTTCCACTACCATTTCAAACAAGGGACAGAAAAAGAAAAAACAAAAAAAAGAAAGAATCATCCACTTTCGTATCCTTGTCTCATGTTTTACCTCTATCCTCTTTTCATTCTAACAAATAATCAAATAACAATATGTTTGTGTTAAGGTTGAGATGAAATAGTGGTCGAATTAAATGGGTTGACGAAGTAGATCAGATTTAGGGCAGTTGAATTTTGATTGGTTATTTGCCTATCATTATGATGTGATTCACAAATACCCTTCTTTAGCCTTGAAAATCTGTCAACTTGAACTCATTTCCTCATCTTTAACTTATTACTGAACAAAAACTTTTGCATGCCTCCGGTTTACAATAATTTTATTGTACATCGAACAATTTGCGGAAAGTGACCCTTTTTTCTTATAAAAGTGACCCTTTTTTCTCACAAAAGTGACCCTTTTTTTCACAAAAGTGATCTTTTTTTTTTTCGCAAAAATGACCCTTTTTCGCAAGAGTGGTCCTTTTTTATCACAAAAGTGACCCCTTTTTTTTAACAAAAGTGACCCATATTTTACAAAAACGCACTACTGTCCGCCGACCTTCAAAAAAAATTAGGTCACAAGATTCAGAAGTTATACCTTCAATTTTTTCATTTGAACTAGTAGTAGGAAGAGCAATGGTCTCCTTCTTTGAAAGCTTAACATTCGACATTATATTCAAAAACTAAAATCAAAATAGAATTAACATGAACATACCTTAAAATAACCAAAAAATACAAAAAATATGAACATACATACCTCAAAATTGGATGTAAAAGAAGAATTAACAAAAGAAACTACAAAATTAAGTTGAAAACCAAGATTGGATAGAAAAACGAGAATGAAATTGAAGAACAAAGGAGATAGAAACTAGAAAGAGGGGTAAAGAAGATGAGAGAGAAAAAGAAGAGCAGAGGAAAGAGAAGAAACAGAAACAAAATAAAAAAAAAGGAGAGAGAAAACATGAGAATGGTAACAAATTTTAAATTTCACAAGTGTAGATTGGGCCATAACCACCACCATTCAATAACTTATTGTAAACCTGTTTTTTTTAAACTTTTGTGATTACTGAATTAATCGTCAAAATCAAAACAAAATATGTTTACTTATTAATGAATTTCTTTTTAGTAATGAAAATAGAGATGTATATTTTTGTTATTTTTTCCAAATAGAAAGTGTATTCAAGCACACTGTACACATTGATACAAAATTCAAGTTACAACGTATATTGTTTAATAATGGTTATTTTATACGCAGCGCAAAATATGATCAAAATTTTGTTAAACCAGTTTACATCTAACCTTATATAATTTTAATAAAACAACTGGTAAAAAAAAAAGGGATTGGGGTTGGAGTCCTTTGGACGTGATCTATGGACAGGACAGCCATCAAGTCAACAGAAGATAAAGGGTACAGAGAAGAGAATGCATATGAAATAAATCTAAGGATGTATGGAAAGCTCAACTTATGAAAGCTTTTGCTATAAATATGAATTAAGAAAGAAACTTGGTTTTTAGTGATAATCAGTTAATCACGTAATCACCCCTTATACAACTACAATGCTATACCTAATCGCGTGGGTAATCCGAAATTTTAACAAACTAAAAAAACCATTCCAATTACGCAGCTATATTTCCAGTGTTCTTGCAAGAAATTGAGCAGCAAATTAAAACACCCAATACAGCCAAACGCTGAAACTTGTAATCGTAGCAGATGCAAAATCATGCAATAGTACGTTGAAGGGCTGTTTTCACTGCCAGACTACTGGGGCGAAAAGCATTGTCACTCTTCGTTGGGTGTCTTTTGCTTTCTCTGAACAATCCTCATACAAGCTATAGCCTTTAAAACTTTCTGTAGCATAATGCTTAGCCAGGTTCAGACTGCAATGGGCACTTTAGCTGGACTAGAAACTTGAGCATTAACCTGTTCCATAGAATAGATGAAAATCTAATTAACTACGGATGTCCTGTCAAAAAATTTAAAAAAAAAATTAACTACAGCTGGTATGGTAATTAACTGCAGATAAAATACTCACATTTTTTACCAGTAATTTACTATGTTTAAAATAAAATTCCATAAAGATATACTCTTTGTATGAAGCAAACAAGTCCTACATAGTTCTGATTTCAAAACGCATTTCAGAGAGAGTGCATTGGTTGGCAATCACTAAACATAGAGACTAGAGCTTACCTTAGCTGCTTTATATAGCTCATCTAATACTTCAGATAGTGTTGGGTGTGCATGAACAGCAAGCTTTAAGTCCTGCATAAAAAAAGAAATTCAATTGATGTCACAACTATTTTAAAAGACCGGAACATGCAATATCAAATGTGCTTAACCAAACGAATCATGCAACCAAATTGCACAAGAATGGCCCACCCAGATTTGCTGAGAACAGAAAGTTACCTGAATAGAGGTGCCCATTGCAATTGCATTTGATGCTTCATGGATGAGGTCTGCTGCATGCAGTCCAAATATATGAACTCCAAGGATCTCCCCATTGTCAGGTCTGTATATCAACTGCAACATGTCACAAAAGTACAAGAGAATTGTTAGATTTAATATCAGCTCTGCATTGATAGAGAGTTGTTTCAAGTACGACTTTATACCAATAAAAAAAGAGTAAAAAAAAACTTTCATTTCTTCTTTGGGAAATTAATAAAAATATTGTTAGATTTAATATCAGTGCTGCTGCAAACTGACTCATCAAGGCTACAAATAATTTGATTTTTGTTGATATTGTTTTTTTTAATTAAAATGGATTTTTATCCACTTAAGTAGTTCTTTAGGAAAGTTCAGTACCTACCAAATAGCTTCCTCCCAAAGCGGACACTGGACAGGACTATGTGAGAGTAATTAATTAGGCAATTTCTGAGACCAAAATAATCAAACTGTATATGCAGGACATGTTCAACGAATGACAAAATAGGTCCACAGAAAAGTTCTTAAGTATACAAAGATTAAGGATTGAAACCTTAGCAAGTCCTTCTGCTTCATTTTCTGCCAGTGCCTTTGAGTTGGCCTTGAAACTTGTCTTTGCCACACTCACTTCAAATCCCTCCTTTTCAGCTTTCTCCCTGGCTTGGGGCTGCAGAATCATACATAATTTTTTAAAAATCAATGGAGAACTTAAAACAGTCAGCTTATGTAAACCCAAATCTACAAGGAGTGGCGTTTCAATGAATATTTTATTAAAACAGTCAGCTTATGTAAACCCAAATCTACAGGAAATGCCTCCGCCTCCACCAAATACAATCACAAAACAATAACCTGCAGTTCAAATCATGCAATTTTGGTTCCAAAACCATATCATAGCTTCAGGCTGCCACTAGAAAGCAGATAGAATTTAGCTTAGACTAATATGGCC